TTCTTTCTTTCTTTCTTTCTTTCTTTCTTTCTTTCTTTCTTTCTTTCTTTCTTTCTACATTGTGAAGCCTTTGGTTAGTTTGAAACCACGTGAGATCAGCAGAAAGAAAAAGAGCAAAAAACGAAATTAAATAAAAACAAAAACCTGCCCCCAAATTATTAGCATTTCTTTTTGCCTTAAATAAGAGAAAGTTCTATCCTTACTGGTCCTAAATCTGAATAACTACATCTATGTATTTAACCTTAATTACAATACAACTACAATATGTACTAGAAGAGGAAGAGAAGAGAAAGGGTGTGTGTGGAGGGGTGTCACTACACTAGAATCAGGACAGCACTCTTACAAGATAGTCATTTTTATACATTATTAACATACAACAATGATCAACAAAGAATCTTCTATGAGGTGCCAGGGACTGAGGGAGGAGGAGGAGGAGGAACACATGATAGTCTACAGTACAGGCACACGTTCCCAGAAACTCCACCAGGGAAGCTCCATGAAAATCAAAGAGAGCTCCATCGTTTAAAAGGAAATTCACCCCCAGGAACTCCTGATAGGCTGCACATGGATGGTACCTATCTTGATTAAAGTGTAATAATAATAAAAAAAAATCCCTGACTTTTTCTTTTTTTTTTCTCGCTCTTTTTTTTCTTTTTTTTGTAAAAACACACTCAAGTTTCAGGGAATTAGTTTGGGATTAATTCCTTCTATTATTTTATTTCATTTTTATTATTTTTAGTGTACTACTTGATCAAGTCTCAATATCTTTAAAAAGCGTCCAGCATTCTGGCTTTTAAACCTGGTTGTTTTCAAATAAGAAAATAAAAACTTAAAACCTACAACAGCCATCCCCCTCCAGCAAAACATCTTATTTTTGCTGTCTATTTTAAAAATGGGGGAATAGGATTCTTCTCCTCCTCCTTACAGTTCGCATTATGGTGCCTCTGTGAGTGATCGAAGATGCTTTGCTCTAACTTGTCTATTGAACATCTATGTTAGCCTACTGGTTAGTAAAATTTTACAAAAATAGGAGTGCAGCAGCTTTTTTTTTTCTCTTAACAAATGTCTCATTCAGTGTCTTATTCTGGCTGTACCTAGAGTACCAAATTTATAAACGTAACAATTTAAAAAAATATTAATAAAACTTGTCAATATTAATGCTTAAAAAAAGAATATATCCACACTATAGTTATGCTTGTAATATCACCTACTGTGTTGTACTTGGAGTTGCTGTTGCCAGCCTATTTGACCCATATTTAAAAAATTAAATTAAAAAATATCCTTCATAAGTCTCCTCCCCAGCAGAGGACCATATATATAACAGCCAAACATTAAACATGTGCAAATCGGAAATTGTCAGTTTTCCCCTACCAGTCACAGTGCAATGATGTTTTTATACATTTTTTTTTTCAAATCTGTTTTCATCTACAATAAATTAAGCTTCTCTTGCGTCTAGGGTGACAAACTTGTAGCACTGAGGTATTCGTAACGATTTGTTTAAAATAAACCTTTGCTTTTTCTAATTTGTGAATTAGAAAAGAATGGAAAAAAGATGGGTAAAAGGTGAGAAGATGCATGCTTTATCTGCCCCTCCCCACAGCTGGGAGCTTCCAAGACGTCAAGACTGGCTTGGTGCGAGGGCTGCAGGCAATGGGGCTGGCGGAGATGGATGGACAGTCAGGTGATCTAAATGGTTAAAAAAAGTGTGCTTGAAACTTTAAATACCTTTTTAAATATTAAAAATGTAGCTTTTTCAATCTTGGGAAAAGCAGTTTTTTTTTTAACTTAAAAATGTAACTAGACTGTTACTTTAAAAGCTGTGCACAGAGGTCTAGTTAATATGCTGGTATGACGCTAGTACAGTTATAAGGTCTAACATCTACAGAGCAAGCTAAACAGTGTTGATCTAACTGCTACGGGCCAGCTCTGGCAGTCGATCTCACAAGTTTAAAAACATTGGGGCACAATCCAGCGGAAATGTTCCCTGCGTGCGCTGGCGAGAAAAATGGGAACTGGGCAAGGACCTCAATGCCCTCACACGCTTCCCATTCGTATAAAAGAACTTGCAGGAGAGAAGATTCTGTTGGGATGTGTGCCCCTAATTTTAATCTTTTTCTTCCATTCAGTACAGAAACTGCCTTAATCTGACTCCATCACAAAAATATTACAATTTCTCTTTTTTAATAGTTTATATGCAAGTTAATGGAATTGTATTTACAGTATTACTATTTTTAGATTTCACAATTTCAAAAAACCTTATCGCCTCTTTTTTAACAACAAAAAAAATGCACTTATAGAAAAAGGACCCAAAAAACTTTGTAGTCCTTACTTTATTGCCGAAAATAGATATAATTAGGTTAACTAATAAAAAGAACTGCTAGAGATCCTGCTACTGAGCCAGCCTCCTATTTCCCATCCAGCATAAAAGAGAGTATTTCCACTTACTTTTCTTGCTTGCTCTAATTCTAAATTCAGCGTGTGCTAAATTCCACCTGAAAAAGCCTTTCAACTTCAGAATTGGTACCAATAAACTGAAAATCATGTTACCATTTCAGCAACAAAAATATATAAGAAGAAAGAAATAGGGAAAGGGATTAAAAAGCAAAGCAAAGAAACCTTTAAGATATAGAGTTAGAGTATGGTTAGGGTTTTCCTAAATACACAAAGTAGCAGATCTACTTTGATTATAAGCCTATGTCAAAATACTACAAAAAAGTGATTAAAATAGATCTCAAAGGGGAAAAAAACATCAAGAAAAATAATAACATGAACAAAAATGGATTATATATATACACATTTGTTTTAAAAAGCTGTTGTTCTATATAGTACAGCAGGTTCATGAGATGATACCGATTTTGGACAACCCAAATCCACTGAGTGCCACCTCCAGTTTGTGTGGGTTACTGATGATGGTGCAATGGTCAAAGTCTGAAGACGTGTCACCTAAACATGGAACCATTCAGAAACTTCGCCCTGTCTTGCCTGGACATCCAGATATACTCTACAGTGGATGAAAGATAAAGAAAAGAGAAATGTAATGGTTATGGTTCAACCTTCAGAAACATGCATCTTCTGAGTCCTAGTAGGACGCACACAATGTGCTCAACCTGATATCTGAATTAACACATTTTCTGGCTTCACACAAGTTTTACTCCACGTTTATTTCATGTGAGATTTATATTTAACAGATTCACACAATACATTGCACCGTAAACTAATCCAATGGCCTAGGTCTCTACAACAGTTACCTGCAGGACAGCCTTCTCTGGCCTGTATCGATTGCACCTACTAGATCACTGAGGGAGAAACTCCTTGTAGTTCCACACTTCTGGGAGGGAGGAGAGTCAAAGCTAGGAGGCACAGCTTCTCCGGGGCAGCCCCAGTGCTGTGGAACAGCATCCCTGAGGAGATTAGGCTGGCAACCTCCTGGCTGGCTTTCTGTGATGGACTGGAATGGAGGAAGGGGGGTGAAAACGGTGCTCTCATCTCCAAAGCAACGCTCTGGAGACAAGCGGAGGAAGCTGGCGCATCCCTAAACATTCCAGAAGATAGTAGAGACTTGTGCCTGGGAACTGCTGGTCAGTCTGAGAAGACTCTGTAAATAAGCGCTAGCT